CCAAACACAAAGCATGCGGTGGGCGTTGGGGAACGAGGTTGCAAGGGAATTCATTAGAGCCTGCTCGCGATCCGTGATGACGACTGGAGGGAGGGGGATCTCGTTGCTTTGGAAAATGGTCAGAAGTGATTGCAGGGCCCAATCGTAGAACGGCTCGGTTTCCTCTGCCATGAAACAGAATGCGACACTGAACGTCTTGTTTGAACCGGTGATTCCAGACACGTGGAGCAGAGGCATGCGGTACTTATTCGTCTTATATGTGCAGTCGAGTAGGATGATGTGGTGGTATGCCTTGAGGAGCTTCAGGGAATCAGAGTGACAGAAAAAAAGCGCTTTGAGGTTACCTTCTTGATCTACTTTGGTGGCGGTGGTGAAGTTGGTGTTGGCCAGAGTTTTGTTCAAGTGAACAATCGGACTTATCCCTTGAAGCGTTTCCTGGCGAGCCTTTTTCCGGGCCGTGTAAATTGTGCTGACGGTCGCTAGTATGATCTCATTCGGGTGAGTCTTCTTCAGGGACCGGAGTATCTCGCTAGGCCTCAATCCTGCCTCGCCAAGAGCCTTCATTTCTTCATAAAGACGTGGTGTGAGCCTTCTGTTGGTGGTGTGCGCAGACATGCTTTCCGACGGCTCGTGATTATGAGCGCCCGTCCTCACTCGGAAGTCCCACTGATTGACACCCTTTTTGTGAAAGTAAGCTGTGGCCTCCCATGGGCACCGTATCAACCGAGTCGAACGAGCCTTCCCATGAGTTTCACCGGGGCGCTTATTTTGGTCTGGATGGCCACCTCTATATTCCTCAAATGAACAGTAGCAGTCAATAACCCAAACGCAAGGTACAAGACATGGTGAGAGACGGAAAAGACCAAATTCGGGCGGCTTACCTGTCACATTTGAAGAGCTTGCTCTTTCCTTCGACTGTTCGCCTGAGCACAATTGCATAGCCATTATGCAATGCAAAGCGCTTAACATCCTCAATCATGAACTCGGGATCGGCGTAAAGTGCTGCGGGGGGGTTCGGGAAATCATATAGCCGGCAGTTTGTCTTAGGACAGATCCGGTAGTTGTCCGGGTTGAAGTTTGTCACGAAATCGGTTCGGTCATTGACCGGGTCCTCGCCTTCGCCTTCCTGATTAGCGTTACCCGTGCTGGGGTCTGGGGCCACCTCACCGGTGGCAGTGCGTAATTGCATCTGGACGTTGGGACATCATGGCAGGTCTGTCAGCAAGAGCATGAGGGGTGGAGACAGAGGGTGGAGACAGAGGGTGAGGAATGAAATGAATCTTACCTTGAGGCTGATTTAAACCATCAGTAGGTACGCCAAGCTTGTCGTCCAGAGGTCCATCCGACGGATTTGCTCCATGCAACGGTGAGCCTACGTTAACGTCTACCACGGCGTCTCCTTTGGGGGCTTGAGGGGCATCATGAGGTCCTGAGACCGCAGGTCTGTCAGCAAGAGCTTCACGGGTGGAGAAAGAAGGTGGAGACAGAGGGTGAGGAATGAAATGAATCTTACCTTGAGGCTGATTTAAACCATCAGTAGGTACGCCAAGCTTGTCATCCAGAGGTTCATCCGACGGATTCGCTCTATGCAACGGTGAGCCTACGTTAACGTCTACCACGGCGTCTCTTTGGGGGCTTGAGGGGCATCTTGAGGTCCTGAGACGCAGGCTTTCAGCAAGAGCTTCACGGG